GATCCACCTGCCTCGGCCTCTCAAAGTGCTGGGATTACAGGCCTGAGCCACCGTGCCTAGCCAAAGTCTGCTATTGTTCATGCCCACAATGGTTTTCTCCCATAGTATTCTGTCTTCTAGCATTCATTTTGACATTGAATTGTATGCTGCCCATAGACTTATTTTATCACATTAATAGATACATGTTTTCTCTTCCCAATTAGATTATAATCTTCTGGAAAAGAAGCTTGTAATGAGATATCACAGTACCTTTCTCTTGTATCTTTAGCAGGATCCAACACCCTGCTAAATACATAACTAAATGAATGAATAAATGAGTAATTATACTCATTTCTAACCACATGTATACTACACTCAGAAACTTGCCAATCCTGAAAACCAGAGGCAAGAATTTTCCCCTTGGTAACTGTACTACTAATACCTCTGGGTACTTCAGATGGTGTAGACTGATAAAGAAAAACAGAGGAACTTAATTACAGAGAAATAAGGAGGATCAAGATGGAAATAAGTGGCTAATAAAAATCATTCAGTGTAAAGTTGTGAAAGATTGGCTATCGTGTGTTTGAATATTTTTATGATATAAATTCTCATCTTTTAGTCCTAATCATACCGACTTGAATTCTGTGCTCATGCCCAGTGAGATAAGTGTGTATTTGTACCCTTTTCATATTTTTCCTTGCATTAACAATTCTTTAGAAGATGGGTATATGGAGGTTAGTGAGTGAATGATGTTTTCAAACCATCAATACCACTTTCTTCCTACTAAGTGGATTGATTCTATTTACCTGTTGACAGTCCTGCTACAGTGAGCCACTTTTAATGTTGGAAATGGGTCTATTCCTCATTTCTTATAGAGAAGACGAATTGCATATGATTCACATTCACGTTCATGGGAACACACATTCTTCAAGACCCAGTACAAATGCTGCTTCCTCTGTGGAATCTTCCTAAACCTTCGTCTCTTCCTCTCATTTGTCTGCCTTCTGCAGCACACGTTTTGCTCCCATTCTCTCCCATAATATTTTGATTCATCTTATGGAATTTCTAATTTGTGACCTTTTATTAAAATTTCGTAAAAGTTATTTGCCTGTTTTATGGCATCTGTTGAATGGCTGAACCAGATGACCATTTTAAGGTGTATCATAGGATGGCTGAGCACTCTTAGATTTCAGGTTTGATTATAGATGTGTTTCAGAATTTTGAAATTTTTGGTTGTGCCTAACACCAAGAAACTCATACACACACACTTTCAGGTCAAACAACTACGACAAAACAATACAATGGTTGTCATCTTTCCTTGATCCAGCGGGGGTAAAGGGAAAGTCCCTAGTAGATGTTGGGACCCACAGTCTCAACTATTTGGCAGAAGTCTATGCATGCTAATAATGGAGGTAAAATAGGCTGGCTTGGTAAGCCGAGTGTGTACTAGGATGCTGGTGATTCTCTTGTGTTTAACAAACTGCTTCTCACAGCATGTCTGATAGGGTCAGTATGGCCAGAGAGCACCTCGCTGTGGGTTGAGCCACCCTGGAGAGATAAGTGTTTCTCATTATAGGAGGCTTATTGAGTAGAATGTGTGCTCAGTTGCCTCATTGTCCACCCCTGCCTACTAAGAAATAGTTGTTTAAAGTTTAAATCAATACTTAACATCATAAAACATAGTTACACTTCAAATACACACTTTTAATAATAGGTGACATTCATGCTTATTATGTACCAGGCATTGTTCTGAATATTGTACAGGTATTAACATGTTTAATTTGTGCAAAATTTAATGAAGCAGTATTATTGTTATTGCCATATTGCAAAAGAAGCAACTGAGACCCAGAAGTTAAATGATTTAAGGTCACATAGTTAATAAGGGCCAGGAGTGGGACACAGACCCAGATATGTATTCCAGAGTCTGCATACCACAATTTTACTTTACTTTATTTTGTTTTTGTTTTTTTTTTGAGACAGTTTCATTCAGTTACCTAGTCTGGAGTGCAGTGGCACAGTCTCGGCTCACAGCAACCTCTGCCTTCAGGGTTCAAGCAATTCTCTTGGCTTAGCTTCTGGAGTAGCTGGGACTACAGGCACGCATTACCATGCCAGGCTATTTTTTGTATTTTTAATAGAGATGGTGGTAGAGATGAGTTTTGCCATGTTGGCCTGGCTGGTCTGCAACTTCTGATCTCAGGTGATCTGCCAGCCTAAGCCTCCCAATTTGCTGTTATTACAGGACTGAGCTACCATGCCCAGCCTATATGCACCACAGTTTTATACAGTTCATTTTCCTGGTGTATGAAGCTGGGAAAAGACAAACAATAAGGGTTTTCTGGTATTTCCTCCGACTACAAGGTAGTTTCCAACTTTGAAATTCCCTGATTTATCTGGCAGTTTCCCCTACTAATTTGCAAAATGGATTAAGGGTCAGATCAAAGGCCTTCCTTGGTCTCTAATTCATAAGTGGCTACTGAAGTCTCACTGGAATGAATGGGAACTATGGTGTTCATGAACTCACAGTTCCATGAATAATCCCTTATACAACCGAAAAAATACATATTGTTCCTGCTCTCTGTCTCTGACCATACAAGGCCAAAAACCAGACATTTTAACAGGTTCTTCTTAGATGTCCTTTTATCTCTATGTAATATGTTTAGGATACATGTGTACATTAGGCTGGGCTGCCTGCTCGAAAACCAGCCAGAAATAGTTCCCTGAAATCAGCAGTTGCAGCTGAATTTCTGTAATGATGCAGTTATATTTAATGAGAATGAGCAATTTATTTTATTATCTAAATTTTGAACTTTAAGTATACCTCCTAAGATTTTTAGTTTGAAAATTGCTAAAGAAAACCAAGGAAATATTAACAACTATGGAAAAGTAGGAACTATTTCACCAACATCATGGCCAAAAGAAAAAGAACTTTCATATATTTGTTGGACAATTATCTATAACTATAGTCTTATATTCTTAATGAGTATGAATTATTAACATAATTTAATCACAAATGGTAAGAAAAGTGAGCAGAAAATTTCAGAATAAAAGCAAATGTTATGTTAGATTTAATGCATAATTTTGAAATGAAGAAAGTATATAATTTTATTAATGGAACATCAGTTACTTTCTTTTAAAAAATTGCATTTTATTTTAATTGACCTATAATAATGGTATATATTTATGGGGTACAGTGTGATGTTTTGATAAATGAATACATTGTGGAATGGCAAAGGTTAATTAATAAATTTATCACCTCACATACTTATTTTTTCTGGTGAGAACATTTAAAATCCACTTTTAAAAACCAATTTTGGAATATAAAACGTATTGTTATTAACAATAGTCATCATGTTATGCAGTAGATGACCAGAACTTATTTCTCCTGAAACTGTACAATTTTAGGGGAGATTGTAAACATCTCCCCTTTTCCTGTCCACCTTTCACCCTCTGGTAACTACCATTCTGCTCTCTATTTCTATGAGTGACATTTTTAGATTCCACATATAAATGAGATCATGTGGTATTTGTATTTCGGTGATTGGCTTATTTTATTTATTAAAGTGTCCTCTAGATTCATCCATATTGTCACAAATGATAGAATTTCCTTCTTAAAAAAGGCTAAATAGTATTCCATTGTGTGTATATACAAAATAGTTTTAATCCATTCATCCATTGATAGACATCAGTCAATTTCTACCACCACTAAATAAATGTTGAACAAGCATTTTTCCCCCATTGTGCCTTTACATTGTTGACATTATTCAATAGACTTTCTGGAATGCATGTATGAATAAATTATTGAAATGTAATAAATCTATACAACTTTCATATGTAGAGTTCCTCCCTTTAATTTGATTGTTTTTTGTCCTATGCATGTCCTGGATGATTGCTTTTATATACCACATGAACAAATTATCTTAATTTCTGTTATGCATTGAGTTGTTTACTCTCCAAATTCATATATTGATGTCCTTATCTACCATACCCCAGTCTGTGACCTTATTTGAAAATAGAGCTATTGCAGATGTAACTATTTAAGATGACATTATACTGAAGTAGGATAGGCCCTACTCCAATATTACTGGTGTCCTTATAACAAGAAAAATTTGAACATAGACATGAACAGAGGAAGAAGGCCATGTAAAGATAAAGAAACCAGGTTGATCCTTCTACAAGCCAAGGAATGTTATATACTTCTAGAAAACTACCAAAAGCCAAGAGAGAAGCACAGAACAGATTCTTCCTCATATAGCCTGTAGAAGGAACTAACCCTGATGAGACCTTGGTCTCTGGCTTCTGGCCTCCCGATCTGGGAGACAACACATTTCTGTTGTTCAAACCTCTGAGTTTGTGGTAATCTGTTATAGTGGCCCTCACAAACTGTATTAGTCCATTTTCACACTACTGTAGAGAAATATCCAAGGCTGGATAATTTATAAATAAAGGAGGTTTAATTGACTCGTGGTTCTGCATGGCTAGGGATGCCTCAAGAAAGTTACAATCATGGCAGAAGGGGAAGCAAGCATGTCCTTCCTTACAAGGTGATGGGAGGGAGAAGTGCATGAAAAGGGGGAAGAGCCCCTTATAGAACCATCAAATCTCATGCGAACAGCAAAGGAGAAACCACCCCCACAATTCAATCACTTCCCTCCCTTGACACGTGGGGATTACAGGTCCCTCTCTTTGACAGGGGGATTTTAATTCAAGATTAGATTTGGGTGGAGACACACAGCCAAACCATATCACAAACCATTTCCTATCATGTAATGAAGACAGGATAGATTGATCTGGTGTGGTGAAATGACTGAGATTTTATCTTTATTTTGTCTGGGACATTATCTGATTATACAACCACTTTCAAACTGCTGTGGGTTTTAAGAGATTGAAGCCAAATGTGATGTATCTGCCTAGGAGGCCTGGGTGCTATTAAAGACTCTTGAAGTTGAGTGTTTAAGAGACATTGTTATCTTCTATGTAAAACTTGTTCCAAAATTTTCCTCTATTATTTATTTTTTTAGGATGTGTTTATGAAGCCTAGATGCTTTGAAGTCCCTGGTAAGTAAATCTATATTATTTAATTTTCTAAATTTAGAAATGTTATCAGTAATGTACCTTCATCTTTCTTCCTGGAAATCTGACATTTCAATTTTTTTTCATCAGCCTGGATATTTTCATGAACTCTAAAGTTTAACAGTACAAATAATTTGTACCTGAAGTGTATTTGTGGCATGCAAGGTCAAGGGTCCAGGGAGCTTGAAGAACAAATAGTATGACACAAACCAGTTTTTAAAAGCAGCCTGAGAACACTTTGTTTTTTAAGGGTTATGGTTAGTGAGCACGGATCTCACAGGAGTTCCTAAGGTTTATTAACTATTTAAAAGATTAAGCCCACTCTTCCAATTGTACTTTGAAACAAAATAGAAAAATGTACAAAGTAAAAGACTTTGGTATTCCTGAAAATGTCTATCTGCAATGGAAATAAACATATATTTCTCTCACTGATGCATGTTTAAGACCTCAGAGTTTAGTATTAAAAAATAGTAAATTTCCATGTTTTATCATTTTTGACTCCTGAGCTCTTGTTAAAACTTGTGATAGTGTTAATTATGCTTGTGATAGTCAACTATCAATTCACTCTACAGGAAGCATGAAATGCTTTAGATTTTATAAATAATATCCATTTACTGTATACTTTATGTACTGTGCTTATAATTTTCTTATTTTAGTTCATTGAGTTTATTTACTAGGAGAGAATATCTATGCTATACATAGAATATTCTATAACATTTTAAAAATCAGGGATATTTATGTATACTTAAATCAGGGATTGAAAGAATATTCCTTTTCTTGTGTTCCTAGTATTTCTTAAAGCATCATATACTAATTAAATATTTGTTGTATATTTTCAACATATTCTGTAAGATGCTTGGAGAAGGAGCAGGGCATAGTAAAAGACACAACAGGTTTCCGTCCTCAGGGGTTTTATCTGGGGCCTTAAAAGGAAGTTTATGGAAAGATAAACACATGGTAGGGAGCCATGTTTTAGCTTACTGTTATGTAAAGACTGGAAGTAGATCTCAGAAAAGGGAGTTGTTATGAATCAGGGTGGTCAGAAAAGAGTCAATAGAGAAGTGGGGATTGGGCTATAAGAAGGTAAAGTAGAGGAAGAGGGAGGGCACAGAGACAAAGCAGGCTTTGAAAATTCTTAGACGTCTGGTGACAATGAAAAGGAGTAGGTTGAATTGGTTGAGAGAGCCAGATTTTTGTGAAGGGCACTCCATGATAGGAGAAGAACAATTCTATAGTCATCAGGACAGAAAAAGATAGCTTGAAGGATGGTCACGGAAGAGACTTAAACAATTAAATGTAAAACTAGGGAAGGACCAAAGGAGAATGCTTCTATAATGACTGCAGTTACAGAGCAAATGATACCCCTTTATTTAGCTAAGTAAATAACCTTCAAATATTCCTTGTCTCATCATGTTTATAGTTCTTGATGATTGACATCTGTGTTACAAGAAAATAAATTGTTATCAAAAATTTATTAAAGAAAATATATACACTAAAAATTCCAAAGATGTCTGTTTCATTCCCCACATTCAGTATTGCCGTTCTAAATAAATATCTTCTTATCCCAAGTATTGTATAATAACCGATATTAGATATGATTCCTGAAATCGATAAAAAATTTAGTTCAATGAGAACTGCATTGTGGCTTCGGATATAAGAAGAAGGAAGATTTATTCAAGAAATCAATCTTATATCTTGCTGTCTATTTAAAATTCTGGAAGCAGAGATAAAATAATTTACTTGCTTGAAAATCTTTTGTGAACCCTTATTGTCCCTAAAATGAGGTTCAAAATCCTCAGGCAGGTATAGGGCAGAGGGTAAAATGTTAAACGCTGGAGGCTAACCAAGTTGACAATTTTGATTTTCTTACTTATCAGTAATATAAGTTTGGGAAAGTTATTTAATCTTTCAGAGCTTCAGTTTGCAACAAAATGATAATAACCAATCATTGAATTATTATGAATATAGGAAGAGATAAGTCACGTAATCAGCATATTACATAGTAAGTGCTCGATGGGTCTATTACTTTAAGCAGATTTGTGTTAGTCTAAACTACCATCAACTGTCTCCATCATACTTTTCCTGTAGTAGTTTCCTCTGCTGATCTTCATTCTGCTTATCTTATGGTCAAGCTGAATTCTCTTTAGATCCATGGTGTGTAATTTCTGCTTCTCTGCTTTTCTTTATACTGTATCTCCTGCAAGGTACCCTCCCCATTTCTCACCCAGTTATTTTTTAGGATTCTATGCATCCTTTCAAAGATCAGTTGAAAGATCATTTTCTAAGAAAGAATTTTTCTGATACTACCAGCTCTTCTGATCTCTCACAACAGTTGTGTCTCTTGAGGGTGCTATATAAATCACAATTCTAAGTTGCAAATAACAGAATTCACACTGAATAATTTAGGCAGAAAATAAGTTTATTAAAAGATATTAAACAAGTATAGAAAATATCTGGGGGGCTCAGAGAGTCAGACTTGAAGCTAAGCCAGAAAAAAATGTTCACCTGTAGTGTAAGACTGGTTTAATGAGAAAACTATTACCATTTCCTCTTTGGAATATGCTCTGTCAACCATGTAGCCTGGTACTTCTTGCATTAATCAGATTTAGACCACATGCCAGAAATATAGCTGCAAGGGCATGTGAGAAGGCACTACACACACACACACAGACACACACACACAGACACACAGTTTTTTTTTTTTTTTTTTTTTTTTTTGTTTCCTGTGTTGGGTGAAAGAACTTTGCAGTTTGAGAAATTACCAAAGTGAAAGATGTTTAAAGATGTTGTGTGATTACAAATGAAAAATGTTTAAACAGACACTTACCACTTAAAAAAAACCCCTTTATTATAGTAATTTTCAAATATGTAAGAAAGTAGGGAATAATAGTGCCATCAACCTCCCTCATCTCTCCCCATTGACCGCTTACCTCTCTATAGCAATCATCAAGCCACAGCCACTCTTGTTTTGTTTTATGACTGTCCCTGCCCACATCTACCTGCATACAACTCCTCCCACCCATACCTTCTAGTAATTTTGAGGAGAATCCATGCATAACATCATTGCTTCATTACTAATTCAGTTTGTATCTCTAAAAGATAACAAAGTGTTTAATAACATAACCACAATACCATTATCACATCTACAAAGCTAATGATAATTCTGTAATGTCAACAAATGTCCAGGCAGTGTTTGAATTTCCCTGATTGTCTTCAAAATGATTTTTTTTTTTGAGACAGAGTCTCCCTTGGTCACCCAGGCTGGAGTGCAGTGGCGCACTCTTGGCTCACTGCAACCTCTGCCTCCCCTGCTTGAGCCATTCTGCCTCAGCCTCCCCGAGTAACTGGGATTACAGGCACCCGCCACTATATCTGGCTAATTTTTGTCTTTTTAATAGAGATGGGGTTTCACCACATTGGCCAGGTTGGTCTTGAACACCTGACCTCAGGTGATCCACCTGCTTTGGCCTCCCAAAGTGTTGAGATTATAGGCATGAGCCATTGTCCCCGGTCTCAAAATGATTTTTAAATTTTGATTTGTTTGAATCAATTTCCAAGCAAATTTCTCACATACATTTGCTTCTCATATGTCTGTTAAGTCTCTTTTAATCAGTAGATTCTCTTCATCTCTTTACAACTTATTTGGTGAAGAAACCAAGCCATTCATCTTGTAGAGTTTTCTGAATTCACAGTTTTTCTAAGTGCTTCCTTGTGGCATCATTTAACATGTAGCTGTCTTCCTCCCTCCCTCTGAAAACTAGTAATTAGATTTAGAGGCTTGGCATGATGGCTTGATCATGGAAAAGCTAGAATTAGAACCAGGTTTTCTGACTCCTAGTCCATGCTGTTTCTAAGCTGCCTCTTTAAGGAGGCACAGAGTTCATGGCCTTCTATTTGGAGAGAAAAAAAAAAACAGTTCCATGCTTATAAAATGCTCAGAGTATGCTCAGTTTTGCTCATCATTCAACACATAGAAAAGATGATGTGCATTTTGAGAAAGCCTATAGAAAATAGGGAAGCTGATCCCAGAGCCTTGGCCACCTTTCTTTCTATGGACTTTCTATTGGGGAATGATACTGCTTTTGTATAATTGGATTTTCTGGGATCTGGTTCTTTATATGCAGAGGTTAAAAAAAACCTATATTCCTGCCTTAAAATGCATCAGTAATAATACTGAGCCAGCATGGATACAGCAAATATGTATAGCATGAGTTATGTTTGCGGTGACAGGAGGGAGGATATGAAGAAAATCTTGGATGATTTATATTTGTATAAATGTATTTTTTCTCCCCCTTATCTCTTTGAGGATTTTTGCTTCTTTTAAATTCTAGACTCATTTATTCCAATAGTTATAATTCTTGTGTATGTATTGTTTGGCTCATTGTCTGTCTTTATTCACTCTTGAGACTCTAATTATTTTGACTTATCAATAAGAGTGTTTATGTTTGTTAATTTCGTAGGGCTGTAGCAATACTCTATCAGATTATAAATTATCTATTTAAAGCAAAACAAAGTGATTCCTAAGAATTCCCTTTTAATTGTAGTGGAGTCACTCACTATACAAGGTTAAGTTGTATGAAGAAAAACTTGATAGACATCAATTCATATTGTTTTTCCTCTTGGAACTCTTTTTTTATGAAGAATCTTTTATTTTTACTACTTCTTATGGGTAGGTTGACACCCTAAAAGTGGTTTGGATATAACATTATTCAAACAATATAAACAAAAGAGTTAGATGGAAAGGAATTTTCATATAACATGCATGATTGTAGGAGATGAGTGGACTGCACTCTGGCTTTGCACATTTAGAATAAATTTGTTCACAAAATATCTCATCATAAAGACATAAAGTAAGACAGCCAATAGCATAAGCTCAGTGACAAACTGAAGATCATTAGCTTCCTAAAAACCAAATTCTTTATCATAATGGAAACTTATTTCAAATGAAACTTGTTATAAGATCAGGGCATCTTGCCATTTTGGCA